GCTCAGCAGGTCTGGCAGCATCTGTGAAGGAAGAAACAGAGTTAACAGGGTCTGAGGAAGGATCACTGGACCCGAAACGTTAACTCTGTTTCTTCCTTCACAGATGCTGCCAGACCTGCTGAGCTTTTCCAGCAACTTCTGTTTTTGTTCCTGATTCACAGCATCCGCAGTTCTTTCGGTTTTTATCTAAAATCCTACAGCACAGGAGGTGGCCATTCAGCATGTCCTGATTCTGCTTGCCCTTCTGAAGAGCCATCCAATCAGTGCCATCCTGCCGCCTCTTTTCTCCTCAACTCCCTTTCAATGGTTTGTATTGAATCTGTTTCCACTGCCCATTATTCCAGGAGCACAGTCCAGATCACACTAAATCATTGCAAGGAAGTAATTCTCCCTATCTCTGGCCTGGGTGTTTGTCATTTATCTTAACTCTGCTTCCTGTGTTTACAAATCTTTCAGTCAGTAGACATAAAGGAGTTTGTGTGCAATGACTCTGTACTTTATATGGAGTTTCTCATTGGGAGATACAGTTCTTTACCAAGTTTGAGAAGAAAGGCACTGAGAGGCTGTTTCCCCCTCAACAGAAAGTCCAGAGGTAGGGTCACAGCCTCAGGATAACAGGTCAACCGTGGAGGCCTGAGATGAGGAGAAATTTGTTCACTTAGTGTTGTGAGCCTTTGAGATAGAGGCAGATAGACCCTTGGACAGTAAGAAGAATAGGAGGATTGGGCAGGGTAGGGAAAGGTGAGGCTGAGGATCAGCCTGGAATAAAAAGCTAAGAAGCAGGCTACAGGGGCCTACTCTTGAGACTTCTTACACTTTTTTTCAAGTCAATCAATCCCTGAAATCATTTTGATAATCTTTATTAAATCCTCCTAACCTTCCGACTCCAAGGAGAACAATGACAGATTCTGCAATCCTTTTATCTAACCACCAGTCATGATAAAGCCAAGCCAAGGATGAAGTTTGCCTCCAGGTATTGAAGGGGTTAACCTTTCTAAACAAAGTCAGATGTAATGCAATGTCGCACTCTGCCCCTTGACAACCCTTCTCTCCTCCATTCAGTCTTCAACCCTCCCTGAGCGATCACTTTCCAATCCATAAAACCCATTGGAATCGGGGAGAGCATCAAGCCGTTCAGATCCAGAGAAGGGGGAAATAAAACCCATACCCAGCACTAATCCAACTTACTGACGCAGGAAATTAAGTCGTGGAAAATCTCTTTGGGGAAGAGCGGGCTAGCCAATCCTCGGAAGTGTAGCTTCAGCACTCCTGCTATTGAGTCCATATCATGGTCATTCTGATCTCCCGCCAAGGGGTCCTCACCTACATTCATCAACATTGACAGAATGAAACAAAATGAGGATGACTGCACAGTTTGAACCTGGTTTACTGTTGACACTTGGGAGATTAAAATCTTCCACATTAATTCACCATCTGGATCCAGCAGTTTCCTTATGTATCCTTCTTGAAAAGATATTGGGGCACCAGTGGGGGCAGGGGGGGGTGGGGTTGGTGGTGTCGGGAAGGGAAGGGAAGGGAAGGGAAGGGAAGGGAAGGGAAGGGGGTTTGGGGATGGGTTTGCTCTATTTTTCTGAATAACCACTTTCAATATCCTGGGGGTTACCATTGACCAGAAACTAAACTGGACCCGCCACATAAACACAGTGGCTACAAGAGCAGGTGAGAGGCTAGGGATACTGAGGCAAGTAACTCACCTCCCCAAAGCCTGTCCACAAGGCACAAGTCAGGTGCGTGATGGAATACTCCCCACTTGCCTGGATGGGTGCAGCTCCAACAGCACGCAAGAAGCTCAATACTATCTAGGCCAAAGCAGCCTGCTCAATTGGAGCTCCACGTAACACCCTAAATATTTACTCCTTCCACCACTGACACACTGGGAGCATTGTGTTCCACCCGCAATGAGTAGTACACAACTCACCAAGGCTCCTTAGACATCACCTTCTAAACCTATCACCACTTCCATCTAGAAGGACAACAGTGGCAGATACATGGAGACACGAGCCCTTCCAAGCCACTCACCATGCTGACTTGGAAATATATCACTGTTCCTTCAGTTTTGCTGGGTCAAAATCCTGAAACTCCCTCTCTAAGGGCATTGGGGATGTATCTAGAGCACCCGGACTGCAGCGATTTAAGAAGGCAGCTCACCACCACCTTCTTAACGACAACAAAGGATGGGCAATAAATGCTGGGCCATCTTACATGTTATCGGAGATGCAGGTATCCATTATTTAGTATCCTGTGCATTAGTGACGGCCACTTGTAGCAAACACCAGGATCAACCCAATGGTGATGCCTTTTGGTTGTGACACAGTAGGCCCTGAGAGAGTGTTGGAAAAGCAGATCACCATGGAACACTAGCACCTTACTGAGGCAGTCTCCTAACAGCTGTGTTGGGCACAGTGACCTGGGTATATGTGTGGTGATATTGGTGGGGAGGATGCTGAGACCCACTGCTGGCTTGTTTCAGTGTCAGACAGACTGAGGGGTACAGAGGGGTCTCAAAAATCCACAATCCAGGATTCCCTCTCTGCTGATGACCCCCAGTCTGGAGTCTACACACTCCCTACCTGTTCAGTGGCCAAGCCAAGCTGTTTAATCTCTCATCAAAACTACAGTTCCAGGGAAGAGAATGCTGATAGCAGGAATCCCTTTGACTGAAATTAAAGCGGGGGTATGGTTCAGAATGAATACAGCACAGGATTACTGAAGGAAAATTCATTCCAGCACTCACCGCGCTCAAAGGCGTTTTTGATATCATTCACTTCAATCTGTGATCCTGATACTCGGAAAATTCCTTCGTGCTGCAGACCTGTGAGTAAGAATATTTCAATAAGAATTAGGATCAGGAATATCACATCCAGCCCCCAGAGAAAGGCATTTCTCACATCCCCATCCTAACATGTCACAGCTGCCCCCATTCCTGAGAGGGTATGGACTGGGCCAGTGGACACCCAGCGGTGGAGTACGACTGACATACAATGTCACGCTCAGCCTACACACTTCTTCATCCTTCACACCCGTCACACCCAGCCCGCATGCCCCATCACAACCCATCACACCCAGGCCGCACACCCCGTCACGCCCAGCCCGCACGCCCCGTCACACCCAATCACCCAGCCCACACGCCCCATCACACCCTGTCACACCCAGCCCACACGCCCCATCACACCCAGCCCCACTAACAACTATTCTCCCTCCCAGCCTGATCGTTATCAACTCTTTGTCTGTCCAACTGCTCTTCTCTCTTTAGGCTCTATCCTATCGTTTACTCCCTACCCCATCTGCCTCCCCTTTTTTCTGCATATAAACTGACGTTTTCCCAGCCACCATCAGTTCTGAGGAAGGGTCACTGGACCCAAATTGTTATCTCTGTTTTCTCCTTCACAGACGCTGCCAGACCTGCTGAGCTTTTCCAGCAACTTTGTTTTTGTCACAGAGTATGACTCTGATTTCCACATGAACATTAAGGTGCCCCATTCACTGTGAATGGCTGGTATTTTAATTAAATACTGGAACAGGAAATAGAACAACTCCCTAAGCACCAAGTCCTGTCCCAACCTCAACACTGAGCTGCTCCCCTCCCTCAGAGCGGTCCCTGTCGTCGGTACATCTCATTGTTTCCGAGGACAGGCACTCAGCAATCACGGCAGCACTGAGAGTCACCAGAGCCACGGATGGTGTTCCCTGTCACCCTGCGTGGATCGGGGTCTCATACAACAACATCAAGCTGGGGGCGGAAACTCCAAACTAATAACAGCAGCAACCAGAGACTGCGACAGCTGATTCATGGCTAAAAGAAAATGTCTTTTAAAAACAGACAAGTAATAATAGAGTTGCCCGAGGAAAGATGGGGCCAGTGAAGGGCTGAAAGATCATCTACCTGGAACCAGAGTGAAGAGATTAAATATGTGTTTATATCTCTTTTCATTCGATGGCAATGTAGCAGGTGAAGGTGCAGCTACTGAATAGATTGAAGGTAGATAAAGGATTAGTTTAATAGTTGTCTGTCCTCAGTGTTTAAAGCTACTGGGTGCAGGGCAAATGTATCCTCGGTTACTGACCGAAGTAAGTTTGGGGGTTATATATGTGCAGGCCTCAAGCTACAGCTCTCCTCAGGAGCGGGGTTTGCCAGAGGGCTGGAGCTTTCCAAAAGATCAGGGAATAACAAAACATTCGGCAGGTTCAGGTCACCCAAGTGTAGAGGGGCGGGGGAGAGATCAGGCCAAGTGCAGGGACACAGATTAAGCTCTCGTGGGGAAAGCCCAGCGTAGAGTGACTACAGGCCCATGGCTAATGAAGGACTGTAATTTGGAACCTTTTGTTTCTTATTTACTACTTTATACTGAGAAGAACTATAATGTTGAACTTTTAACTTATTTCTTTTTTTCCTACTTTTAACCAAAGATTTTGTACCTAGGTACCTTGGACCAAAGATGGCGCCTTGAATGATGACATTATACACTTTTCGCTGTACTCCTGGATCCCTGAACATGAGTACACATGACAATAAAACCTAATTTTAATAATGTCAGTCCTGGGCAAACATCCCATGCAGCCCCAATGGGAATGAATAGCCTCCTGCAGCGTTATCACCGATTCTGTAATGTTGGGGCTGGGGAGATGCTGATAACACTCCAGAGTAAAATGAGTCAGCATTTGTCAAGGTTCTGAGTGAATAATGGAAATGCAGTGTAGATTTGCTGAAGGCAGATTGTGTTTGACCAATTCAAACAAGTTCTTTAATAAAGCAACAGAGAGGATTAATGAGGGTAATGTGGCTGATGTTATGGACTTTCAAAAGGGCTTTTACATTGATTGATTTGTGTGATGAGGGCATCACTGGCAAGGCCGGCATTTGTTGCCCATCCCTAAGTGCCCTTGAATTGAGTGGCTGGCTCAGCCATTTTGGGGGACCGTCAACGGTCATTGCTGTGAGTCTGGAGTCACGTGTAAGCCAGACTGGGTAAGGATGGCAGATTCCTTTCCCTGAAGGGTATCAGTGAACCAGATGGGTTTGTACAATTCAGATATGGTCATTGAGATGGTTTTTAATTCCAGATGTTTATCAAATTCAAATTTTACCATCTGCCAAGGTGGGACTTGAACCCATGTCCTCGGAACAAATTAATATGTTAACATTAATAGAGAGGCAGAATTTCTGTGCAATGATTTGTGAAATACTAATGAGGGCCCAGTGGAGTACTTGGTACAATTCTGGACACCACATTTAGGAAGGAAACCAGTGTTTTGGAGAGACAGAGACAGTGCAGGAGTGATTTAATCAAATGGTCATAGGGATCAGTGACCTTAGTTACACAGAGAGACAGCAGAAACTGAGGCAGAGCAGAAAAGGTTACGAAAGGATTTTAAAACATTGTTCAAAATGATGAATAGCCCTGTGGGAATGAATCAGGAGAAGCTGTTTCCAGCAGCAGGAGGGTCAGGAATCAGAGCTTATGGATCAAGGGGATTAGTAAATCAGAGGTGAGATCAGAAATATCTTTTTCATTTAGCTACCGCACCGTCTGATGACCTGTCCAGAAGGGCAGTGGAAACAGGTTCAATAATAACTTTCAAAAGGGAATGGAATAAATCCAGGTTAATGGGGCAAAAGGAGGGGTGCAGGATTAACTGGGACCCTGTGCTACCCAGCGCTATGGGCTGAATAGTCTCCCTTTCTCGAAATTAATCCATCATTTTATAAAGAGGTCTTGCACGTACCGTGTCGGCTAATGAAACGGATGCAGCTTTCCACCACAAGAGGAATGATCTGATTGCCATCCTAGAAACAACGAAACAGAAATAAGCAGCAGCAAGGAGTCCTCACCCTGAAGTTTATACAACTGCCTCTCCAGCTACTTTCAATAAATTCCAAATCCATATAAATAATAAAAGAGAGCAGGAGTATTATCCATTGTGTCTCTACAAGATTTACTGATCTCCAATAGAAACAGACAATTTTAAATTCACCTGCCTTGAGACTAAAGTCTGCCCACCTACTGCTCACCAATCTGGAGGGAGGACTGTCCATTGCCTTTCACACTCTTTAGCAGGACTAATGGGTTGTCTAGTAGTCAATCACTTCCTCAGCCCTAGTGGCTAACCTCTCTCATATCTGTTCTTATGTTCTCTCTCTCTGTCATCGTTCCGTCTCGATAGTGACAGTATCTCCTTCTCTGAATCTTCTCAATGAATCTTCTCAACTGATTCCAGCTCGACATCTCAATCCCAAGCACTCGTCCAATTCCCTCTGTCCTCACTGTGCTGAGATCAGGAGCTGTCCTTCCTTCTCTTACCGCAGCTCATTTGTTTATTGAACCTCAAAACTGTGCCATGTCTCCATTGGTTTCTATCCTCCCTCCCTCCCATAACAACGGACCTTTCCAGCGATCTAACTTACTGCCAACTCTTTGTTCTTTCCAACCTTGATGTGACCTTCATCACATCATTCCATCCCTCTTCAGAGGTAAGGCTGAATGCCCTCTTCACACCGACCCCCAAACACGTTAATATCTGGTAGACTATGCCCCCTTCCCAGACCAATGTTTGATATCGCTAACCGAGTGCACTGTCTTGGTAACAAGGTGTCAGCAGTGACTGGCTGGGGCCTTTTTGGCAAACGCTGTCTACAAATCCCGACTGTTCAGCAAGACAGCCGGAAGAGAAAGGAGGGATGGTTGTTTGAATGTTAGAATGTTCTGCCTGGTAAAACAGACAGTCTAAGTCAGCAAGGCAGAAAGGAACATCTTTGGAGTCACGAGAGAAGCTGTGTATAAATCCTGAGGGCTGGTGTGGGGAGATTCACTGGTCTCCCAGGAGCCATGTCTAAACGTTTGATAAACAGTCTGGTCCTGATGATGCAATGGGGACAAGCAGTTTAATGGAGAATATAAAGGTCTGTGTTGGGAGGTTACCTGTTTCCTCACACTGGAATTCCATCGTCCACTACATGGGAAAGGGCGAAAGTGAAGAAATAAAGAGTTAGCCACAGCAAGATAAACACTGGACACAAATACTCAATTGCACCAACCCACTACAATCAAACTGAATCAAGCCCATGTAACTGTGACTACATCAATGAAGAATGTACTAAAATAACCCTGACAGCGCAGAGCGTGATCATCAATAAAGGCTGAACTCTTGAAGCAGACACGGCCAGCCCTGGCTACTGACTGCACAGCGCCCAATTCCTGACAGCTGGAGATTGACGGCATCGCCCTTTCACCTTGGCCCAGGTATCCAGGAGGAACCAAGGACAGGGGGAGATATCGATTCCTGTGCACACGTTTCAGCAGCATTCAGCATTAACAACAGGACGGTTAGACTCACCCCGAACACCAGCCTGGATCCCCTCAGGCCAGGTGAAAGTTTATTCAGGATAGGACCTGAACACATCATGTAAAAAGGATTGGCTCAGCATATGGCCTGGACACTAGGACTGGCTCAGCCAAAAGTCAGTTTTGTTTATTTTAGGTTTTAGTGGAAAACTGTGTCCTGTGTCTCTAACCGTGTCGAGTGTTCCTACAACCGTATCCGTGTCTCCAACTGTGGCCGATGTCTCTATAACTGTGCCGAGTGTCTGTATAACTATATCTGTCTCTATAACTGCGTCCGTGTCTCTATAACCGCGTCCGTGTCATAACAATGTCCGTGTCTCTGTCTATAACCGCGTCTATGT